ACAATCTGGCCACATTTGTCTCCAAGCAGAGCTCAAAGTCCTGGAAGTCACTCCCTCCCAAGCCTTACCTATAAGGCTTATGGAGCTGTAGATGTTGAAGTGATTCCTCCAGAACTCTCTTAGGGTCAACTTAGTGTCTGTGGTCACTTCAAAGCACTTTTCAAACACTGTTTTTGCGTAGAGTTTTTTGAAGTTAGAAATGACCTGCTGGTCCATGGGGTGGAGGAGAGGAGTGGTGTTAGGAGGCAAGAACTTCACTTTTATAAAACTGAAGTCCCTAGACAAGAGGTCTAATAAGTTTGGAGGATGAGCAGGAGCATTGTCCATTAACAGGAGGCACTTGAGTGGCAATTTTTTTTACAGGAGGTATTTTTTCACACTGGGGCCAAACACTTCATGGACCCACTCTTTGAAAATTTGTCTTGTGACCCATGCCGTATGATTAGCTTTCCACACGACACGTAACTTGTTCTTAAAGACATTGTTTTTCTTAAAAACACTGAGATTTTCTGAACGATACACAAGTAAAGGCTTAATTTTAAAATTACCACTAGCGTTAGCACAGAACAAAAGAGTAAGCCTGTCTTTCATGGGCTTGTGTCCTGGCAGTGCCTTTTCCTCCTGTGTGATGTAGGTCCTCTTTGGCATTTTCTTCCAAAACAGGCCTGTTTCGTCACAATTGAACACTTGTTGGGGTTTGAATTTTTCAGTGTCTATGTACTCCTTAAACTCCTGTTCCAACTTCTCAGCCACCCATTTGTCTGAACTGGCTGCCTCACCATGTCTTACAACATTGTGTATGCCACTACGCTTCTTAAATCTGTCAAACCAGTCTCTGCTGGCCTTAAATTCACTATCAGCACCGGTTCCAGGAGTTTTCTGTACTAGATCGGCATGCAACTTCCTTGCCTTTTTGCAAATAATCGTCTCTGAAACACTATCACCTGCCATCTCTTTATCCTTGATCCACACCAGCAACAACTTCTCAACCTCTTCAACTATTTGTGGTCTTGTTTTGGTTAGCATATAAACACCTTTCGCAACATCAGCTTCCTTGATTTGTTCTTTCTTTGCCAGGATAGAACAGATGGTCGACTTGTTTTTCCCATACATCCAGGCAAGCTCAGCAAGTCTCACACCACTCTCATACTTCTGTATTATTTCCTTCTTCACATCTATGGTGTTTCTCACTTTCTTTACCACAGGGGTACCACTAGCAAGTTTCTTTGGGCCCATGGTAGCTTATTTCACAGTCCCACAAGCACTAAACACAATGAAATAATCGTAAAATGTTTGAATGAGAGCACAGGTTAGTGTTCACTCAAGCATCAACAAAGCCAGACTGGCTCATGGCGCCTGCATGGGGATGCGGACAGAGTGGGCTGGCAGACAGGTACGGTACCCGGCGGTCCGAAAATAAGGGCACGTTTGATAATAGGGACAAAGTTGGTTCGAAAAAAGGGTTCTATTTTTGAAATGTTCGATAAGTGATACGTTCGAAATTTGAGGTTCCACTGTACAGCAGCATCATGAAGTTTCGAAGAGTATTCGTACTGCAGAGGAGCCAAATGTGGAGGAGGTTATCTCTACAAGTGAGATAAAGGAAATGTTGGGAATCTGGGAGAGACTTTCAGAATTTATTACAACGAAACACCCAGAGAAAGTTACAACTGGTCGTGCATCGGAGCTATTTAATGACACGTGCCTAACTCATTTCTGAAACATTCTGAAAGGGAGGCTGAAACATACCTCCTTGGACAGATTTTTATTGAAATGCCCTGCAGAAGAAAGTGAGGAAAGAGTGAAGAAAAAGCCAAAAATCAGTGAAAAGTAAGAACAAGTGAAAGAAGTGAAAAGTTAAACAAAACAAATTATATCAGTTATGTTCTGTGATTAAACAAAACAAATTGTATCAGTTATGTTCAGTGATTAACCCTTAAACTGTCCAAATATATGTTGACGTGTGGCAGGCTCCGAATGTAGATCTACGATTTTTTTTACATGCTTCCAAATGGGGAAAATCAAGGTCGGAGCGCTACGCATGTGAACGTAGCTCTACGTTTGGACAGTTTAAGGGTTAAACAAAACAAATTGTATCAGTTATGCTCAGTGATTTAACAAAACAAATTGTATCAGTTAAGTGATAAAACAAATTGTATGAATTAAGTTCAGCGATGAAACTAAACAATGTTGTTGTTGTTGTTGGAGGTTTACAGGGCCACTAACATCATATGCCGCACTGCGAATCTCCCACCTTCAACCTCTGAAACACTCAACCTCCTTCACACTCAACCTCTGCCACCATCTCTGCTCCAAATCAAATCAAATCATATCAAATCAAAGTTTATTCTCTATAAGGATTACAATGCGGGGTTTACAGATTTTGGTTAATGTGTGGTTTACATGTAGTAAAATACTAATTACAGAGGGGGCCACTAGAACACCTAGCATGGCTAGGCATTTCGGGCAAACTTATGTTAATTCTCAACCCTAAATTATAACAAATTGTGGAGTAAGTTGACTAAATACTAAGTGACTAAGTACTAAGTAACAAATACTAGTTTGTGAGTTTAGCAATGTGAATGGTTTTGTGTTGGCACAACACACAGTCTCTATATTGGAGTATCACAGGCAAAATTATGACTGGTTAGGAATCATTATTTTAAGATTAGGATACGTATTTCTTTGATTATAGTCAAATGGGTGAGTGAGTGAGTGTAAGTGTGGACCACCAGGTGGTTTTTATGTAGTTAGTTGATGGGGTGTATCAGGGAGATAAGATGTTTTCTAACAGTAGTTTTGAAGGTGATGAATGTGTCTGCAGTTCTAGAGTTTTCAGGTAGGGTGTTCCAGATTTTAGGGCCTTTGACATACATTGAATCTTTGTAAAGGTTTAGTCGGACACGGGGAATGTCGTAGAGATGTTTGTGTCTAGTGTTATGCCTGTGGGTCCTGTCACAACTATCAAGAAAGCATTTTAGGTCAAGGTTAATATTGGAATTTAAGGTCCTGTATATGTAGATTGCACAGTAGTAAGTGTGTATGTTCTGAACAGGGAGTAAGTTTAGATCTATGAAGAGTGGGGGGTGTGTTGCCAGGGATGGGATTTAGTGATTATTCTTATTGCAGCTTTTTGTTGAGTTATTATTGGCTTTAGGTGTATTGCTGCAGTTGATCCCCAAGCACAAATAGCATAGGTGAGGTATGGATAAATGAGTGAATGGTATAGTGTGAGAAGGGCATTTTGCGGCACGTAGTATCGTATCTTGGAGAGGATCCCAACTGTTTTGGATACTTTTTTTTGATATGTGTTGGATACGGGTGCTGAAATTCAGGTTGTTGTTGAGGTATAGGCCTAAGAATTTGCCCTCATTATGTCTGGCAATTAGAGTGTTGTCGATCTTAATGTTAAGTTGCGCAGCACCTGCTCTGCTACCAAACATAATATAGTAGGTTTTGTCAGTGTTAAGTGTAAGTTTATTGGCTGTCATCCAAGTTGATATTTTGATCAGCTCCTCATTAACAATGGTGTTGAGGGTGGCAAGATTAGGGTGAGAGATGACATAAGTCGTGTCGTCAGCAAAGAGAATGGGGTTCAGGTGTTGGGATACGTTTGGATACGTTTGAGTAAGTACATATACACTTTATATTCTTATTATTTCTTTACATTCTTTAATGTATTATGATTTATGTATTTATATACGATATTTTCAGTGTTTTCCCTAGAAAACTAGTGATCTACTGCAGTTAACCTCAAAAATAATCTGTTTTCTCTTACAAGAAGAGCATGGGAAGATACTCTCAGTATATACACACAAGAAATGGCAGACGCTTCCACTGCTGCCACCATATTATGGCCTATTTTATTCGTTCTAGAGTATATATCATGTTTCTGTGTTAATTATATTGTTTATTATGTCATATTAGATGACTTGTGATAGATAAGCCATATAGTTGATAATAGCATCATATTCAAGTATTTTTTCTCGGCTTTCCAGAGTTCAGGAATGGATTAATGGCTTTTCGGTTAATTTAAATAAGAAAATTAATTTGATATACGAGTAAATTGAGTTATGAGCTAGCTCCTGGAAAGGATTAAACTCGTAAGTCAAGGTTCCACTGTATATATGTATATATATATATATATATATATACTATATATATATATATTATATATATATATATATACACATGTATATTTATGTATCACACGGCACTTGAATTGTTACTTAGGTCCAGTGCTGGATCACTAAGCTACAAGGCTTTCAACAGGAAGATTTCACAGACAGCACTTTTAGGTCAGATCTGTATCAATAGCCACTAGCTATGACCCTGCTGTCTCTTCCCACAGCCCAAGAAGCTATAGAAAGTCTGAATGCTCAGTGGTATAGCATTGGATCTATGTGCCAAAATCGTGGTTCGAGTCCATGATCGTTCTTCTGTTTATTCAATGATAGTTGATCATTATGACTTATCTTGATCTGATAGTCTATAATGGCTTTGAGGGGTATGAGAATAGATGTGCCATGAAAGTTTCTGGGATTGTGGAAAGAGACAGTAGGGTCACAGTTGGTGACCACTGATGCAGATATGTCATAGAAGTGCTCTCTGTGAAATCTTCCTTTCGAAATTGAGCTTGCTACGTGCCAGGACCGTGTTTCGAGTTCCTGTCCCTTCTGTTTATTCACTGACAGTCATTCATTATGACATACCATAAGTTTATGGACTACGTATATGATTTTGAGGGTATGAGAATAAATGTACCATGAATGCTCTTGGAAGAGAAAGTAAGGTTACAGCTGTTGGCTGCTGACACAGACATCACAGAAGTGTTGTCTCACTTTGTGGTCTAAATATTTAACTGAAGAATATTGAATCATAAGTAGCTGTACATTTACAATTTTTCTAAATACTTATCCAGACAACAGAAAAATAATTATAAAAGACTGAAGTAATTTTTAATAAGGAAAACTGCTAAAGATTTGTGTATATTTTTGCAGCTAGGATGATATCACTGAATAATTCTGTTCGTGTGTCTGGAGAAGAGCCAGACCCTGCACGGGAAGAAAGGTCTGGTCGTGTTCGTGAAGTTGGAAGTCAGGCTGTGTGGTCATTATCCTCTTGTAAACCAGGTTTGTAAAAGTGGTATTCACTTATATACTATACTGTATTGTAATTTTCTCAATAATATATACTATCTGAATTGGAAGTACTGTACTGCTCTGTGTTTTACATTGTACGTTAAAATAAATCTAACTGTGTTCATGTATAATTATATTTTTATAAAATGTTTTGAAAATATTTTTATATGTATAATTTATGCTGTTCAAGGGTTTGGTGTAGAGCAATTACGTGATGATTGCCTAGATACATATTGGCAGTCAGATGGTCCTCAACCTCACCTTGTCAATATACAGTTTCGCCGCAAAACAACCATACAGGATGTATGGATATATGCTGATTATAAAGCTGATGAAAGCTACACTCCCAGTAGGTATGTAAGGTTGACATCCTCTTGTACTGTATAAGGATCACATATTTTTTTTTTAACATATCGGCTTTTTCTCAAGGCAGGGTGACCCAAAAAGAAAGAAAAAAAAACTTTCACCATCACTCATGCATAATCATTGTCTGTGCAGAGGCGCTCAGCTATGACAGTTTAGACGTCCCTCCAAACTGCCAATATCCTAAATCCTTCCTTTGAAGTGCAGGCATTGTACTTCCCATTTCCAGAACTCAAGTCTGGCTAACTGGTTTCCCTGAATCCCTTCACAAAATATTACCCTGCTCACACTCCAACAGGTCGTCAGGTCCCAAAAACCATTCGTCTCCATTCACACCTATCTAACATGCTCACTCACACTTGCTGGAAGTCCAAGCCCCTCACCCACAAAACCTCCTTTACCCCTTCCCTCCAACCTTTTTGGGGACGACCCCTACTTCGCCTTCCTTCCCCAATAGATTTATATGCTCTCCAAATCATTCTACTTTGTTCCATTCTCTCTAAATGACCAAACCATCTCAACAGCCCCTCTTCAGCCCTCTGACTAATACTTTTAGTAAATCCACACCTCCTAATTTCCATAATACGAATTCTCTGCACAATATTTACACCACACATTGCCCTTAGACACAACATCTCCACTTCCTCTGGCTGCCTCCTTGCTGCAGCATTTACAACCCATGTTTCACACCCATATAAGTGTGTTGGTACTACTATATTCTCGTACATTTCCCTTCTTTGCCTCCATGGATAATGTTATTTGTCTCCACAGGTACCTTAACACATCATTCACCAACCACTCCAATACTATATTTCCCCTTGTTTTTAACATTTCTGTCATGATCCCATCAGTTCCAGTTTCTGTACTCCCTTTCATTCTGTGTAATGCCTCACACACCTCCCTCACATTCTGCTCTTCTTCATTCCTAAAAGATGTTATACCTCCTTGGCCAGTGCATAAAATTACCGCCTCCCTTTCTTCATCAACATTTAAAAGTTTCTCAAAATATATTTGCCATCTACCTAATACCTCCAGTTCCCCATCAACTAACTCCTCTACTCTGTTTTTAACTGACAAATCCAGTCGTTAACTAGGTTTTCTTAACTTGTTTATCTCACTCCAAATTTTTTTTTCTTATTTTCAGCAAAATTTCTTGACAGTGCCTCTCCCACTCTATCATCTGCTGTCCTTTTGCACTCCCTTCACCTTTCTTTACTCTCCATATACTCTGCCCTTCTTATATCACTTCTGTTTTGTAAAAACTCTCATAAGCTACCTTTTTCTCTTTTATTGCACCCCTTACCTCATCATTCCACCAATCACTCCTCTTTTCTCTTGTACCCACCCTCCTATAGCCACAAACATCTGCCCCACAGTCTAATACTGCATTTTTTAAACTATCCCATCCCTCTTCAATCTCCCCACTACCCATATTTGCACTAGCCCACCTTTCTGCCAAGAGTTGCTTATATCTCATCCTAACTTCCTCTCCTTTTAGTTTATAAACTTTCACCTCTCTTAATTACTGTTGACATTTTCCTTTTGTTCCATCCACCTCTTACTCTAACTGTAGCTACAACTAGATAATGATCCGATATATCCATTGCCCTTCTGTAAACATGTACATCCTGAAACCTACCCATCAACCTTTTATCCACCAATACATAATCTAATAAAGTACTTTCATTACATGCTATATCATATCTTGTATACTTATTTATCCTCTTTTTTCTTAAAATATGTATTATTTATTACCAAACCTCTTTCTATACATAGTTCAATTAAAGGCTCCCCATTTTCATTTACCCCTGGCACCCCATATTTGCCTACTACTCCCTCTACAACATTTTTACTCACTTATGCAGTGAGATCCCCAGCCACAAGTACTCTCTCACTTGGTTCAAAACTCCCCACATACTCACTAAATATTTCACAAAATCTCTCTCTCTCCTTTACACTTCTCTCTTCTCCAGGTGCATGAACACTTACTATAACCCTCTTTTCACATCCAACCCATATTTTACTCCACATAATCCTTGAATTTATACATTTATATTCCTTCTTTTCCTGCCATAACTTATCCTTCAACATTATTGCTACTCCTTCCTTAGCTCTAACTCTCTTAGAAACCCCTGACCTAATCCCATTTATTTCTCCCCACTGAAACTCTCCTACCTGCTTCAGCTTTGTTTCACTTAGAGCCAGGACTTCCAGCTTTTTATCATTCATAACATCTACATTCATCTCTCTCTTATCATTCGCACTATAGCCATGCACATTCAAACATCCCACTTTGACTGTTTTCTTCTTTTTCTTTTTAGTAGGCTATACGGGAAAAGGGGTTACTAGCCCATTTGCTCCTAGCATTTTAGTTGACTTTTACAACACACTTGTCTTACAGAAGAAAGATTCTTATTCCACTTCCCCATGGATGTGAAATGAAAAGTAATAAAAACAAGAGCTATTAACATAAACTCAAAGAAAACTCAGACGAGTGTGTATACACGTATATAAACGTATATATGCATGTGTAGTGTGACCTAAGTGTAAGTAGAAGTAGCAAGACGTACATGAAATCTTGCATGTTTATGAGACAGAAAAAAGACACCGGCAATCCTACCATCATGTAAAACAAATACAGGCTTCCGTTTTACACTCACTTTGAAGTATGGTAGTACCATCCTGGGCAGTTGCTGTCTACCAAACTACTACCTACTATATGGTATTTATATGATATTTTTATCTCACATTTTGTTGAGCAGTTACATTTTTCATCTAACATTTTGTTTAAAAATCACATATTGGGATGAATCAAATGTCACCTACAGCATGTGTTTTCTTATATATCCCTTCTCACAATTCTGCCACTGTCCTGAGTCTGTAACCAGGTATACCCTGGATGCAATTATAACCAAGGAAGGTATTGTCCCAAATTTCCTTTACCCTGTCCCAGTATATCTTCTGAGAGAAATAATGGTAATTACGTGAAAAAAATTCTGGGGTCACCACCCCCAAAGTCTAGTCTCAAACAAGGTTTCCTGATTGATTGCATCGTCAAGCAGGATGCTGCCAGTCACACACAGTCCATTGTAGACACCACAGTCCAGCTGATCAGGAACTGACTTGAGGAACTTATCAAGTTCCCTCTGGAAGACAGTTTGAAATCTGTTGGTAATTTTCCTTGTGTATGAAAGTAGAGTGTTGAAAAGTTTTGGTCTCTTTACACTTATTGAGTTACTTCGTAGTAAACTTGTTGCACCCTTGCTTTTCAGTGAGGGTATTTTGCACCAAATGCCAAGCCTCTTGCTGTCATGGGGAATAATTTCAGTGTGCAGGTTTGGGACCAAGTCTTCAGAATTTTTCAGGTGTAAATTATGTATTGTATCTTTATTGCCTATATTCCAAGAAGCACAGTTCAAGGTACTGAAAGCATTCCCAATAAATTTAGTGCTTGACTGAATTTATACAGTTAGTGACAGTTCTCTTGGACACAATTGTTTCCTCTTCTTGATTCCAGTCTTCTCTGGTAAAGAGGTAGGTAGGTGTAGGCATTGATAAATTAGACACATGTGCAACTCTTGGGTATCTTTATTGAGGAAACATTTTGCCACACAGTGGCTTCATTAGTCCATACAAAGGAGAAGCGTGAAGAACAGGAGGAGAATGAGGTAATCAGTCCCTCAACCTTGAGTCGATGTGGTCAGTCCATCACTCTTGAATAGAATACAGCATATGTGCAGAGAAGTCGCTTATATACCGTAGGCAGGAGAGGTGCAGCAGATGTAGGTGGTGTCACATTTGTTCAATGTGGAAGTAGGTCGTGCCCAAGGGTTAGGCAAGCGAAGAATCCCCAAGTATTAAGATCCCAAGAAGTTGCAGTGTCTGACAGGATTGCAGATGAATGGTTCAGAGAACCAATACGTTGATAAATTAGACACATGTGCAACTCTTGGGTATCTTTGAGGAAACGTTTCGCCACACTTCCACATTGAACAAATGTGACACCACTTACGTCTGCTGCACCTCTTCTCCTATGGTATATAAGCGACTTCTCCGCACATATACTGTATTCTATTCAAGATTGATGGACTGACCACATCGACTCAAGGTTGAGGGACTGATTATCTCATTCTCCTCCTGTTCTTCATGTTTCTCCTTTGTATGGACGGATGAAGCCACTGTGTGGTGAAACGTTTCCTTAATAAAGATACCCAAGAGTTGCACGTGTCTAATTTATCAATGTGTCGGTTCTCTGAATCATTCATCTACAATCCTGTCAGACACTTCAACTTTTTGGAATCTTAATACTTGGGAATTCTTCATTTGCCTAACCCTTGGGCATGACCTACTTCCACATTGAACAAATGTGACACCACCTATGTCTGCTGCACCTCTCCTGCCTATGGTATATAAGCGACTTCTCCGCACATATGCTGTATTCTATTCAAGATTGATGGATTAACCACATCGACTTAAGGTTGAGGGACTGATTACCTCATTCTCCTCCTGTTCTTCACGTTTCTCCTTTCTATGGACTGATGAAGCCACTGTGTGGCGAAACGTTTCCTCAGTAAAGATACCCAAGAGTTGCACGTGTCTAATTTATCAATGTGTCGGTTCTCTGAACCATTCATCTACAAGGTATAGGCATGTGTGTGTGTGTGTACTCACCTAGTTGAGGTTGCGGGGGTCGAGTCCGAGCTCCTGGCCCCGTGTGTGTGTGTGTGTGTGTGTGCATGCATATGTGTGTGTGTGTGTCAGTAAGTCAGTAAGGAAATGTAAGTATAAGTACAGGTATGTTTCAGAAGTGTGGGAGAATAGGTTTTAAAGAGTGGGAGCTTGTCCTCATTACAGTTAGAGAAAGAGAGAGTTTTGGGAAATGTTGAATGAGTGCATGGGGAGTTTGAACCAAGTGAGAGAGTACTTGTGGTTGGGGATCTCAATGCTAGAGTTGGTAAAAATGTTGTGGAAGGAGTAGTAGGTAAATTTGAGGTGCCAGGGGTAAATGAAAATGGGGAGCCTTGAATTGAGCTATGTGTAGAAAGAGGTTTGGTAATAAGTAATACATATTTTATGAAAAAGAGGATAAATAAGTATACAAGGTATAGTATAGCATGCAATGAAAGTAGTTTGTTAGATTATGTAATGGTGGATAAAATGTTGATGGGTAGGCTTCAGGATGTACATGTTTATAAAGGGGCAACGGATATAGCAGATCATTATTTAGTTGTAGCTTGTGAAGCTTGGGTTGCAAATGCTGCAGCGAGGAGGCGGCTGGATGCAGTGGAGATGTCCTGTCTAAGGAAGGAAGGCAGGGTAGGGGTTGTCCTCGAAAAGGTTGGAGGGAGGGGGTAAAGGAGGTTTTGTGGGTGAGGGGCTTGGACTTCCAGCAAACGTGTGAGCGTGTTAGATAGAAGTGAATGGAGACGAATGGTTTTTGAGACCTGACGAGCCGTTGGAGAGTGAGCAGGGCAATATTTTGTGAAGGGATTCAGGGAAACCAGTTAGCCAGACTTGAGTCTTGGAAATAGGATGTACAATACCTGCACTTTAAAGGAGGGGTTTGGGATATTGGCAGTTTGGGGGGACATCTCAACAGTTGTATCTGAGCACCTCTGCAAAGACAGGGATTATGTATGAGTAAGGTGAAAGTGTTGAACGATGATGAAAGTATTTTTCTTTTTGGGGATTTTCTTTCTTTTTGGGTCACCCTGCCTCGGTGGGAGACGACCAGCGTGTTAAAAAAAATAAAAGTAAGAGGTGCAGAAGCTGGAAGCTGGTTTCTTCCAACAACTAAGAGTAGCAGGCCTATTAGTTGGACATCATTTCCTTTATACACTGGTGAATCCCAGGTCCCTCAAACAGTCAAGTATTGCATATTAGATTCAGAAGCTGGAAATTAACCCCCTGAAACACAGCTACCACTAGTTAAATTGCAGGCCCAGAAGCTAAAGGTCAGCCCACTCAAAAACAGAATTGGGCAGTGTAAGGCAGGACCCCTCTCCTTCCTGGCCTGAATGGGAATGGCATGACATGACATTACAGTATGTTAGGTTACTAGAGAAAAAGTATCTTACTTTTTCACTCATTTCAGTGTTGAACTTCATCATATTGTTTAATCTTAAAAATATACACATGATGGAACTTTGAATAGTAAACAGAGAATGTTTGTCATGTTCATAAGTCAAACCATTATTTATCATTCTTTCAAAAGACTATATAGTAGGCTGACTTAGGTAACACCATATTACCATTAATGGGAGTTGAAAACCATACTACCTAGCTGTATTTTCAAAAGCATTTTCAACAATAGTTTAAATGGAGTTTTGGTGAAATTTCCCAAAATGGTATGTTACATATTTGCCACTTCTATAACAGTTTGTATAAAACATTAGTATTTATACTGCTCATTTTACTTTTATTTTGTATAATTTTTCCCATAATTCAGCAAATACTAAACTGCTTAGTACAACTCAAGTATTGGTTAACTTTCAGAATCTCCATTCGCTGTGGGACTCATTTCAATGATCTCCAAGAAATTGAAGTGGTAGATTTGCACGAACCAACAGGATGGCTTCTCATTCCTCTGAAGGATATACATGAGCGTCCCATCCGCACCTACATGGTCCAGATTGCAGTACTATCAAACCATCAGAATGGAAGAGATACACACATGCGACAGATAAAGATTCATTCTCCTGTTGAAGATAAAGCTGTTGCTGTGGAAAGTGTGGGGGCATTTACATCATCTGCATTCAAACGATACAGCTGCATTAGATGATATCCTTTTGGTGTAAAGCCTAGTTTATATTTTAATTATCTTTGTACATGAATTTATATGTTTAGTTTTCTGTGCTTCCATGTATATAATTTATCTGTATTTTATAACTGTTTCTGTACCTTGTGCTTAAAAAGGTACAGCTATGACTTACCATTTCATGAGTGATCCATGACCAACAAGTCATAAGAAAATTTGTTGAAAATACAGGGGAATGCAAGTCAGTCATAAGCAGGGGTCACCTATATAGTTGAATTACATATTTACAATGTTCTTGTTGAGCTGGTTCTTCCCTCAAAGGTGCCCTAATTCCTTGAATTAAGCCTGAATGCCTTCCATCATCCAACATCCACACAGGCTTTGTATAATCCCTACAGGTTTAGTGCTCCCCCATAATAATAATTCCCTTAAGGTCTTGATGCCAGTGAAGAGCTCTTGATCTAAAAGAACTGAAGTTGCCTTCCCTTGTCTTGGACCAAATCTGCTTGCCTCTTATTCTCTCAGGCAGTGTGTGTGGCCCTTTCAAGTTTAGTGCTCCTCTTATAAATATAATAATCAACTTGTCCTTAAAAAAGAAAAAAATTGCAGTCTATTTTGTTGACCTGCAACACTAAAAAGGAGGGGGCAAGGAAAAAAAAAAAAAGTCTTACTATTAACGCTGCATATTAGACACCATATAAATAGACATCCCATGGAAAGGTGTTAACTACATATTTTTTTTTCTAGCACACTGCCCATATCCCACTGAGGCAGAGTGACCCAAAAAGAAAAACAAAAGTTTTTCTTATTAAATTTTGTAATTTATACAGAAGGGGTTACTAACTTCTTTCTCCTGGCACTTGGTTGCCTCTTACAACATGAATGGCCTATGAAGGAGGAATTATTTTCCACTTCCCCATGGAGAACACTATGTAATATTCTGCAAAAATTATCAGGTCATGTTGACTGTTAAAACAAATTTTGGTAAATTCTTCTGTCCATCACAGAGCAATGACTTCATTTTCAACCTCTTTCAGTTCTTTGACATGGTTCTCTCTCCTTCTCCTCTCAGGTATGTTCCTTTTAATACGAGTTGGCAAGCTATGTGTGGGACCTTTTGAGGTACAGTACCTTGATGCCAGTGAAGGGCTTTTTATTCAGCTGAAACTAATGTACCTCCCTCTCCTTGGATGGAATCTGATCTCCCATTCTCCAGGTTTAGTGCAGTCCTGACCCTTCCACAAATATAATTTGTGTGGATAACGGATAACATTTTGCTTAATTTGTCATTTGTGGCAAGCAAACTGCCATTTCATTGTGGGGGATGCCAGGGCTATTGTCCAAAATACATACATATAGTATATATTTTTTCAACACATTAGCCATATCCCATTGAGGCAGCATGATCTAAAGAGGTAAAAAAAAGTTTTCCTTTTTAAATTTAGTAATTTATATGGAAGAAAGGGTTGCTAGCCCCTCAAAATATAATTATTTCTGTTATATTCATGAGGTATCACTAAACCCATAGGAGTTAGTGCTTGTAGAATGAGAGAGAGTCCAACTTGAACTAAGAATGGAAACCACTCAAGGGAGATTCCTTGATGTCGGCAAGGGGTTCTTGATCCAAGGAACTGGGCATGATCGGGATTGAACCCCATTTCCTCAGACTTTTTGTAACCCCTGCAGGTTTAGCACTTCTCCATACACACAATAATAAAGGGAAGGGTAGATCCAGTTAACTGGATCAAGAGCCCTTTGCCATCATCAAAGCACCCCTCTTGAAGGACATAAGAGATTATAAGTTTTAAAGGAGAGGTTTTGGAATATTTGCAGTTTGGAGGGGTATGTTATATATCTTTATATATGTTTCTAAACTGTTGTATCTGGGTGCCTCTGCAAAGACAGTGATTATGTGTGAGTGAAGTGAAAGTGTTGAATGATGGTGAACGTATTTTTCTTTTTGGGTCACCCTTCCTCAATGGGAGACAGCCGACTTGTTGGGAGAAAAAAAAAAAGTTTTGAATACCTGAAAGGAACTTAATTCAAAGAATTGGATCTGTACTTGCTCTCTCTTAATCAAACCTGAATGCTTCTGACACCCGCAAGCTCTATAATGACCTTTACTGATTTAGCGCTCCCCATAAATGTAATACAGCCTCTCCTCAACGATGGAGTTCCATTCCTAATATGGCATCAGTAAACGATTTCATCGCTAAACAAGGAGCATACTATAATGGTAGTGAATTTATGTCGACCATCTTTGATACTGCATCAATGTCACCCTTGCACCATTTCTAATATTTTTAGTATATTTTTAAATGTTTATACAGTAGTGTACAGTATATTGTAATAAACAAAATAGAGGAACTCAGCTCTTAATATACATTATTTAGGTATGCATACTGGTCAGAGAGCCCGTCGTAAGTCCGAGTCATCGGTAAATAGTACGTTGCTAAGTGACAAGGGGCTGTAATAAACAGGAATTTACTGGATTGAATTTCAGGTATATGTACTTAAATATTTTAATAAAGATATAGTCTATGCAACAGTCATCCAAAAGATATAAATCTGTATCTTTGCTCTTTATATAGTTTAAATTGCAAGCATGATGAAACGTGCAGAATAGTTCCTAAATACTACTTGTTAAATGTTAGTTGTAACAGTGCTATATAAAAATCTATATTTACTTCTTGAGGGAGCACTATATACAAAGTGGTCATAAAGTGCATTGGGGAATGGGAAGTGATCAGATTCAAACCAAGGAAAGGCAGGGTAACTTCAATTCTGTGGATCAAGAACCCTTCACTGGCATCAGGGCACTTCCCATGAAGAGTATAGATCTAAATGCAAGGACAAAAAAAAAATAACTAAAATACTTTATTTATTTTACATTATTTACATAAAATTTATAGTGTAATAATTTTCTACACATATACAAAGAAATAAAACCATGTTACATGGTAAATAATTCATTGTTAATAATTGTACAGAAAACTAAAGAATGAGTTATGTATATATGCTATGTATTAAAAAAGAATTATAAATAAGACATACTTTGCACATTTCATTATTCAGTCATTAGTAAAGATATGGCAAACTGTCCTTTCATGCTCTTAAAAAATGTACATCAAAATGTTGTCTGAGAGGTATGCAATGCAAAATTTAGAAAATAAAAATGAACTCTTGCTGTTTTGTTTGCTACTTGTCTGTGAAAGATTGCAAGACAACCTTTTATGCACATATGCCATCGAATACAGTACAGTGGACCCCCGCTTAACGATCACCTCCCAATGCGACCAATTATGTAAGTGTATTTATGTAAGTGCGTTTGTACGTGTATGTTTGGGGGTCTGAAATGGACTAATCTACTTCACAATATTCCTTATGGGAACAAATTCGGTCAGTACTGGCACCTGAACATACTTCTGGAATGAAAAAATATCGTTAACCGGGGGTCCACTGTATATATCAGTGGTCAGGATCCTAACTGAATGGTGCAATGGGTCCCAGTTCACCATGAAACTATTTATGAAGTACCCCTGTACTTGCATGGAAAGGAATATTTCAGGTGGTTAATATATGTATAATAAACTCATTCACACTTGAAAAACATTCATATAAAAAATATATAACTTGATTCTTCCAAAAAAATAATTACACATATTTTAAAATCAATGTATGCTAAAAATACAAAAATATAACTGAATACGTTACAAGCTTGTGCATACAAAGACCAGTAAATGTATAGTAACATTTCAAAGTTTATAAACTTAATTTTTTATTAGTCATTCAGTGAGAATTTCGACAATAATGTATTATATGACAATACATCTTTAATACTTAACCCTTAAACGGTCCAAACAGATCGACGTTCAAATCTGTAGTGCTCCAAAAGTAGATCTACGTTTTTTTTTACATATTTTCAAATATAACAAAACAAAATGTAGATAAAAAGTTTTTTTACACATTTTCAAATGTAAAACAAGAAAGAAGATCTATATTTTTTGACATACTTTCAAATGTTGAAAAAACATATATATATGTTTGGACCATTTAAGGGTTAATTATTACAACAATTATTCCCCAGATCTAAACTCTCATTAACTAGTAATAATAACAAAAAGAAAATTTTTTGAATATTTAAATTTTTAACCTCAACTATCCAAACCTCACAATCCCAGAGCACAGCTTATTTTTTATCATTTAAGGAATATATTACTATGTTTAGTAATCAATAAAATGTGAAAGCCTAGTTAACAAATGGACTTGGCAGTTAAATATAAAATAAGGGGGATATTAGATGGGGAAGTGAAGGAAAGGCAGTGCTTTCATGCATTGGCCAGAAATGAATAACACTGGAATGAGGAGCCTGAGGCAGATGCAAGACAAGTGTGAGGCAGTGGGTAGAATGACAAAAGTAAAGAAGCTGGGATAGATGGGATTAAGACAGTTCTTAAAAGTAGGTGGGGATACAGTGTTTAAGTGGTTGGTGTATTTGTTCAATATATGTATGGAAAAGGGTAAGGTACCAAGGATTAACAGAGAGAATGCATAGTTTCCTTGCATAAGGAAAAGGGTGGATAGAAAAGCCAAAGGGCAGATGAAGCAAATGTATAGGAGGTAGGCTACTAAAGGCAGTAAAGAGTCCATATTAAGATAGTGAGGCTCAGGTTAGGGTTAGACCTGTCCCAGGATGAAACCTCTAAACTGTATTTACTAACTGTTCCAGCAAGTAGATGGAAGGGGCAGTGAGTTGACAAGTGGATGAGAGATGAAATGCTTTGCTTGAAGAGAGCTACTATATCATGTTGATAAAGTGTTAACATAGGAACATAAGAAAGAACACTGCAGCAGGCCTACTGACCCATGCGAAGCAGGTCCATGTCACCCCCCGGCTTAGACCAATGACACACCTAGTCAGGTCACTCCCACTTAAGGAAGGAGCATGGCATCAAACCTAGTAGCACAAGCTAGTCAGGTCCAACTCACACCCACCCATGTATTTATCTAACCTATTTTTAAAACTACACAATGTCTTTGCTTCTATGACAGTACTCAGAAGTTTGTTCCACTCAGCCACAACTCTATTACCAAACCAGTGCTTTCCTATATCCTTCCTGAATTGAATTTTTCCAACTTGAAACCATTGCTGCGAGTCCTGTCTTGGCTGGAAATTTTCAGCATGCTATTTACATTCCCTTTATTTATTTCTGTTTTCCATTTATACACTTCAGTCATATCCTTCACTAATTCTACGCCTTTCTAGAGAGTGCAGATTCAGGGCCCTCAGTCTGTCCTAATAGGGAAGATTTCTGATAGATGGGATCAACTTTGTCATCCTCCTCTGTACGTTTTCCAGTGCATTTACGGTGGACCCTCGTTTTTCGTAATTAATCTGTTCCAGAGTGTGTGACTATTATCGAAATTGACGATTTGCGAATCCATTTTTCCCCATAAGAAATAATGTAAATCCAATTAATTCGTTCTAGACACCCCGAAGTATCAACAACATTTTTTTTTTTACCTTAAAGATAGATTTACATACACAAAAGAATGAACATTCAACATGACGGTTACCTTTATTGAAGGCTGTTGTTGATGAATGGAAGACAGGGAGGAGGAGAGAGGGAAGAAAGGTTATTGTTTGGAAGGGGAATCCCCCTCCATAAGGACTCTAGGTCACTTCCCTTGCTTAAATATAGATTTACATGCAGAAAAGAATGCCAAATAAATGTAAAGCACTAATAAAATGTATAAATGAACATTTAACATCACAATTACCTTTTATTCAAGACTTTTGTTGGTGTATGGCAGACGGGGCAGAGAGAGGGGAGGCGAGTTTGTTGGAGAATATGACACTAATATCAACTCTACGGCTTATTTATCTATCACAATTCAACTTATATGACATAAACAATATTAATAACATAAAAACAGAATATACTCAAGAATGAATAAAATAAGTCATTATGTATGTCACGAGAAGTGTTGTGTGTTGTTGGATGTATAAGGGCCACTGAGAGTAAGCCATCCATAATGGTGAAGCAGCAGCTGAGGCGGCGGTGTTTTCTGTAGCCCTATATAACTCCAACAACATTGGAGGAGTTGGTAGAATTGCTGAATCACTGAAGAAGGCACCCTCTACCACCATCACAACCACTACCACTCTCTACCACCTTCTATCACTATCATAACTGCTACCACCATCACTACCACCACCTACCACTATTACAACCACTATCACCCTCTACCACTATCACAACTGCTACCACCCTCTAGCACCATCACTACCACCCTCTACGACTATCACAACTGCTAGCATCCTCTACCACCATCACTACCACCCTCTACCACTATCATAATTGCTAGCACCCTCTACCACCATCATAACTGCTAGCACCCTCTACCACCATCATAACTGCTAGCACCCTCTACCACCATCACTACCACCCTCTACCACTATCACAACTGCTAGCACCCTCTACCACCATCACTACCACCACTGCTACTACCCTCTACCACCATCACTACCACCACTGCTACTACCCTCTACCACCATCACTACCATTCTCTACCACTATCACAACTGCTACCACCACCATCTTCGTATTTTTCTACAAACTTTTTCTTAAATTATGTGTGTTTCTCATTCTTTACCAAAGGGCTGGAACTAGAAGCTTTCTTTGGAGCCATGGTGACTTATTTAGCAGTTGCACGCACTAAAATGAATGGAATATTATGAAATGTATCGTATGAACTCGTGGGATCATCTTCACTCACTGATAAACAATGGCACACTGACTGGGAATGGAGTGTGAGGCGGCCCGAGGCTGTGTGTACACGTCCCAGATGAATGACTATTTGCGAGTCAAACGATGATTTGCGAGTCAATGTTTTGACGAAAATAACATTACAATTTTCGAAAATTATGACTTTCGAGCCTTACGATTATCGAGGGTCCACTGTACATCCATTCTGTAATACGGTGACCAGAATTGTGCAGCATAATCTAAACGAGGCCTAACCAAGGATATATAGAGTTAAGAACAACCTGAGGACTTCTATTATTTATACTTCTTGATATGAAGCATATTGTGAACATTAATGCGCTGTTGTCTTGGTTTTAGATTACTGCTAACCAGAACTCCTAAATCCTTTTTGAAATCAGTAGTATTAAGATCTACATTTAGTTTATATGTGACATGGTTATTTTCCTATCCAACATTTAGAACTTTGCATTTGTCTATATTAAACTACATCTGCCACTTCTCCGACCACTGCATCAGTGTATTCAAATCATCCTGGGGTGCTCTAATGTCCTCATTAGAATGAATTGGGTAGCCTATTTTGGTGTCATCAGCAAATCTGCCTATGTCGCTATTTATTCCTTCATCTATGTTGTTTATGTAAATTGTGAACAACAATGGGCCCAACACTGACCCCTGCGGAACACCACTTGTGACGTGCCCGCATTCTGATTTCTCCCCATTTATGCAAACTCTCTGCTGCCTATTTGTCAACCATGCCCTACCCAGGAAAAAATTTCTCCTCCTATTCTGTGTGCCTTAAGTTTCCTCAGTAGCCTCTGGTGTGGAACTCTACTGAAAGCCTTAATGAAGTCCATATACACAATATCATATTCATTACCATGATGTACCTCCTCAAACACCTTAGTGAAAAAAGTTAGTAAATACGTAAGACAGGAACGCCCATTTGTAAAACCGTGTCGAGATTTATTAATCAATTTATGCCTTTTAAGATGGCTACAAATTGTTTCAGCAATTATTGATTCCATAAATTTCCCCACTACTTATTGGTCTATAGTTCGAAGCTAAGGACCTGTCACCTGCCTTGTAAATAGGTATTACATTTGCCACTATCAGGCACTATGCCAATTTGTAGTGATATGTTGATAAGATTAGCCAAAGGTTTACTAAGTTCATCTTTACATTCCTTTAAAACCCTTGCAAACAATTCATCAGGGCCTGGGGATTTGTTAGGTTTTCATTCCTCTATTTGTCCGAGGACCATGTCACTAGTTACCCCAATCGTGCATAGTTTATCGTCCTGTTCTACATAATTTATTATTTCTGGAATTTTGCTAGTATCTTCCTGGGTATAAACTGAGAGGAAGTAAGTATTGAAAATTTCACACATATCCTTATCACTGTCAGTGATCTCGCCTGAGTTAGTCTTCGAATTCCTTGCGACCTTAGCCTCATAATCCTTTTCTTGCTTTTATTTCTTTTTTTTATTTCTCTCTCTAATTGAATATACTGATTTCTTAACTGCCCATTCCCTCTCTTGATACACCTATATATGCCTCTCTTTTGACCAATGAGATGTTTTAATCTATAGTTCATCCATTTGGGATCATTTTTGTTACATCTAATTTCCCTACTCAGAACAAAAGTTGTCTGGGCAGCTAGAACTATGCTCTGAAAAATGCCATATTGGCAACCAACACCACCTACCTGACCCATAGTCAGGTTATCTCAATTTAGCCCACCCAGGTAATTTTTCAGTCCCATGAAATTGGTCAAATGGAAGTCTGGGACAGAGATTTGATTGCAGTTATCTGGGCAATTCCATGATATACTGAAACTAAGCGATCTGTGATCGCTTTCCCCAAGTTCATCATTAACCTCAAGATTATTAATTAGTGATTCTTTGTTGGCAAGATTTCTGTCACAGTGTTCCAATCAATTTGTCTAAAGTTAAAATCTCCCATTAACACAACATTTTCATATCTAGATGCCTTATGAATTTTGTCCCATATGAGCTTACTGCACTCCTTATCAAGGTTTAGGGGCCTATAAATCACACTGAGAACTAATTACTCACAACCCTTGAGAAATTGTAGCCAAACAGATTCTGTGTCTGATGTTTCTAATCTTATATCATGTCTAACACAATTTAAATTACCTCTGACATACATCGCCACTCCACCACCCTTCCTGTTGACCCTATCAGTCTGGAATAGTTTATAACCCTGTATGTTGCATTCAGAAGGCATTTCTCTATCTTTCAGGTTGAACCGGGTCTCTATATATTAAGGGAGCTAGTCACTCGTTGCCCTCTACTATCTCTCTTTGTTTGTTGATCAACTGATTTGCCTTTACTAGCAACTTTATTTTGAATATTGTCTTTTAAACATATCCCTGAGGTATCCTGGTAATATCTGCTATTTTCAACTCTAATACTGAATGAAGCCTGATTGTTTCCCACAAACACCCATACCTCTATAATCTATCAGTTGCAGGTCCTAGACAAGTCATCAATTACCCCCTCAATCGAACTGGCTAATGCAACCACTCCAGCCCCAGAGAGATGAACCCCATCCCTTGCATACATATCACATTTGCCATAGAATTTGTCCCAGTTATCAATGAATGGGATTGCAAGTTCCTTGCAGTACCTGTCTAACCAGCAATTTATACCAATTGCCCTAGACATCCATTCATTGCCCACTCCCTTTCTAGGCAAGATGCTACATATGATTGGGATCCCTCCCTTAGACCTATTTCTATGGCTGACCCGTACTTATCCAGTAGCTCCTGTCTCTTGCCTTTCCCAATCTCATTACCACCAGCACTAAGACAGATAATGGGCTTGTTCCCATTACCTGACATAATATTATCCAACCTGCTATGTCACCAACACCAGCTCCTGGGAGGCACAACCTGTCTGACCTTACTACCTCTGTTACAAAAAGCACAGTCCATATATCTTACCTGAGAGTGTCCCACAATCAGAATATTCTTACCTTGATTAGCAGAGGGGAGACAGTGGTACCTTTAACCTCACTAACCACTGAAATACATTCGTCCTGGAAAACAGAGAATCGATTTCCTACCTTCACATCTTCTCTATTAACCTTCCTTAACTTCTTTCTTCCTGAATTGTGAACCACTTGCCACTTAAAGTGGCTGCCACTCTCACTGCTGGTGAGAGTGGCAGCTACTTTAAGTGGCTGCCACTCCTTACCAGCTCCATTCATCTCACACTCACTCCCAAACCGATCTAGGCAAAGCTTCAGCCTCTTATTTTCCTCCTGAAGAGGTAGAACCTCTTTCTTCAACATTTTAACCTGAGATTCTAAAACACTACAGCAAGCCATGGTGCTCGGTAACACCCCACGCTAACTCCCAGACAGCTTAGGACACACATGACCTCACGTGACCACTTTGAGGATGATATCATTTTAATAAGGGTTTACACTGTTTTGTGTGTCTTTTCTATAAGTGTATTATTTATTTATCATCTGCCTTATGTTAGTTCCTCTAACTAAAGCATCAAGATCTGAACTGAAAAAAATAACAAAATAATGATAATAAAATATATTATTAATCTCAAATACATATTTAAAATTAAAATAGCTATTCTCTGCTCCATGTAATAAATATACTACAGTACATGCATTCACATTTACCTTAAAAAATTAGATGAACGTTACTTTCTACTAACGTAATTATTTCTGTGTTCCAAGTAAATATAGTATACTGATATACCTCTGAAGAGTTTTGACAGTTTATCTACTCTCTGAGACCTGGCCATGGGCCAGGATTCACATTCAATCGCTCACTTTCTCTCCAAAATTGACTGATGAGTAGATGAATGTTACTTTCTATGTGCACTTATCATAAGAAACAAACCAGTGCCAGGCTACTGTATCACAAAAACAATTATAAAGAAATCACAAGCAAAATTGAGCACAAAATGCAGCACTTAAAATTATAAATGGTGTGGCTCATTCCTTTTAGAGTGTGAGAAATCCCAATTTTGTGAATGAATGAAATTGCCAATTTACATTATTCAATATAACCTCAATAAAATGTCTGGGCATCATAATTCATATTCACAAGATTCAATAATAAGAGGAAATTCCACAATTTTTTTTTTACCTTTCTACTCTTCAAGGGAAGGGCTCTTGATCCAAGGAATTAAAGATACTCTCACCTTAAAATGAACTGGACTGCCTTTAATTCTCCCAAGTATTGTATACCTTATTTTACAGCATTAAAGACTTATTTTTACCCCAAAATTAGTCTCAAAAATTTACCCAGTATCTTGGAGGCTGAAGTACTGTTTATCTTTTTTTTTTTCCCAATCAGAATTGGGGGGGTGAAGGAAGAAGCGTCCTCGGCACCAGATCGTCTTGTTTGCCATAAAATACATAACTAAATGGGTTAGCACTCTCCTTAAATGCCCCCCCCCCCCCAAAAAAAAAAAAGATCCTTCTTAAGTAGTGAAGTTTAGTTCAACCCATACTCCACACTGACATTTAAAAACTTAACGAATCCTAACAGAGTAAATTAAGTAACCTCAAAGAAAAGTATAAACTAATGAACTAGATAAAACAGTGCAAAAACTAGATAAAATACTAACAACAAGCATCCATAAACCAGTGTGGCCACAAAACCATAACAATTAAGTCTTGAGGAAAAATATCACAAGTAAAACACTAACATTATTAGGATGAATGTACTGTATGTAAATAAGATATCTGTCTTGAAATGCTACTGAGCAATACAAGTTTCCAAAGGGTTATCATTCATCTTTCAGTTGAAATCCTTGTTTCTGATATACATCTTTTATAATATTTGTACTTTTTAAATACAGTAGAGAGAGATTTTTAAATATGGTATCAAAAATTAAATGAAAAGTGCAGCAATCTGGTGTCATAAAACATATCAATGAAGAATATTTCACGAGATTTATGTGTTTACTACTATTAAAGAACAAAAAGGCACAATACTGTGACTGGAACAATACACAAATAACCTGCATATAGGAGCGAGGAACTTACAATGACATTTTGGTCTAACTTGGACCATTTACACAGCCACACTGTGTGACTTTGTAAATGGTCCAAGTCAGATTGAAATGTCATCTTCAGTTCCTCTCTCCTATGTGCAGGTTGTGTATTACTACCATTAATTCCTGAACAATGCTGTAAATAAAATTTAGAAAGAATAAAAACTAGTCAGACTATGGAATGGATGGAAAATGCCATTACATTATATACAGTACAACTCTTATAAATTAGGCAAGATATGTTAATATCTAAGCCAATATTTTCTAGTCACAAATTTCTTAATGTAAAACACCTATCTAAATAATAATGGAAAACAATCATTAGTCATATAAAAGCACAAAATTGAGCCTTTCAGTGTTGGATATTTATTTAAATAAAATATAGAAATATAGAATACTGTACTATAATTTTGAGAAACATTTAAATGTATTGGAAAAATAATTAGTGTAATGCTGAAGTGCAAGGTTTCCTCTGAATAAAAGTAAAAAATTAAAGTTACCCAATTAATCAACTCCAACATTCTGTAAACAATAAAGTGAAATAAGTAATTTATGTTGATACAGTAATATCAACTTCGCAGTTTTCAAGAATTTAGAGAGGTATTATGAACCAATACCAAATATTTCCACTACATATATCTTCCCTCGTTATATAAAATAAATATATATTTATTTTTAAACTCATTTCTGCACCAAGCAGGGACCAACATGCCTACAGTTTTTATTTTAGACTTCTTTAATAAAAAATTTTTTAATTTTGTGTAAAACTGGCCAAATTACTGATTTCCACATGTATTACAGGGTAGTTTTGAGAGCTGGATGGGCAATTTTTGTGCTCAAATGACAGAACAGATAGCATACTAGCAAAACAGCCAGAAACTGGGTCAAATCGACCATTGGAACTGGCTTAAAATTGGACTCACAATAGGCAAAATCACCAATGTGTAAACTGCACCGAGCCCAACTTTGTGCCTGCATAATTCTGTAAGTTTTCCATCAAATTTTACATTTTGTGTCATTACCTTCAGAAAAATATTCTCTACCATTTCAAAAGATTTTTTTTTAAACATCACAACACTGTCAGCACTTTTAATGTTAGCAAAGTGTGGGGAGGGGTTATGATCGTGAAGGGTGAACGTACTCTGTTTTGCAATAATGTAATTTTTAATAATGATAACTGATCTAACTCAAGAGGTAACCATAGTAAGAGTAATTTTAGTCATTTTAATAAATAAAAACAAATAATCATATTTGTTTATGGTGCAGTAAACTCAAACGGAACATTAATAGTGTTACAGTATATAGCATCAATAAAATCTTTCTGCCCATGTTAAAGAATTATTTATATTCAACACACACACACACACACACATTGTCTTTTAACAGCAATTAAGAAATTACTGACTGGCATCTCAATATGGCATTCACAATACTAAAAAAAAAAAAAAAAAAAAGGGTCGCAGTTTATTCACTGAAGGATATATCTGCTACACGGTAGTAGATGACAGAGGTTTCATCTGTTCTAATTTCTGGGGATCCTTTTTAGTGAACGTTACCCAAGAGTATACTATACTGCCAATAATACTGCAAAATAATTAAAAGATAAATATTAATTCACACATACAGTACTTTTGAATATAGTACAATATAGACTTAATGTAAGTACATGTATTTTTATAATTATTTTTATTAACACACTGGCCGATTCCCACCAAGGCAGGGTGGCCCGAAAAAAAAAAAAACTTTCACCATCATTCACTCCATCACTGTCTTGCCAGAAGGGTGCTTTACACTACAGTTTTTAAACTGCAACATTAACACCCCTCCTTCAGAGTGCAGGCACTGTACTTCCCATCTCCAGGACTGAAGTCCGGCCTGCCGGTTTCCCTGAATCCCTTCATAAATGTTACTTTGCTCACACTCCAACAGCATGTCAAGTATTAAAAACCATTTGTCTCCATTCACTCCTACCAAACACGCTCACGCATACCTGCTGGAAGTCCAAGCCCCTCGCACACAAAACCTCCTTTACCCCCTCCCTCCAACCTTTCCTAGGCCGACCCCTACACCGCCTTCCTTCCACTACGGACTGATACACTCCTGAAGTCTTTCTGTTTTGCTCCATTCTCTCTACATGTCCGAACCACCTCAACAACCCTTCCTCAGCCCTCTGGACAACAGTTTTGGTAATCCTGCACCTCCTCCTAACTTCCAAACTATGAATTCTCTGCATTATAGTCACACCACACATTGCTCTCAGACATGACATCTCCACTGCCTCCAGCCTTCTCCTCGCTGCAACATTCATCACCCATGCTTCACACCCATATAAGAGCGTTGGTAAAACTATACTCTCATACATTCCCCTCTTTGCCTCCAAGGACAAAGTTCTTTGTCTCCACAGACTCCTAAGTGCAACCGCTCACCTTTTCCCCTCGTCAATTCTATGATTCACCTCATCTTTCATAGACCCATCCGCTGACACGTCCACTCCCAAATATCTGAATACATTCACCTCCTCCATACTCTTTCCCTCCAATCTGATATCCATTCTTTCATCACCTAATCTTTTTGTTATCCTCATAACCTTACTCTTTCCTGCATTCACTTTTAATTTTCTTCTTTTGCATACCCTACCAAATTCATCCACCAACCTCTGCAACTTCTCTTCAGAATCTCCCAAGAGCAGTGTCATCAGCAAAGAGCAACTGTGACAACTCCCACTTTATGTGTGATTCTTTATCTTTTAACTCTACGCCTCTTGCCAAGACCCTCGCATTTACTTCTCTTACAACCCCATCTATAAATATATTAAACAACCATGGTGACATCACACATCCTTGTCTAAGGCCTACTTTTACTGGGAAATAATCTCCCTCTTTCCTACATACTCTAACTTGAGCCTCACTATCCTCATAAAAACTCTTAACTGCTTTCAGTAACCTACCTCCTACACCATACACCTGCAACATCTGCCACATTGCCCCCCTATCCACCCTGTCATATGCCTTTTCCAAATCCATAAATGCCACAAAAACCTCTTTAGCCTTATCTAAATACTGTTCACTTATATGTTTCACTGTAAACACCTGGTCCACACACCCCCTACCTTTCCTAAAGCCTCCTTGTTCATCTGCTATCCTATTCTCCGTCTTACTCTTAATTCTTTCAATAATAACTCTACCATACGCTTTACCAGGTATACTCAACAGACTTATCCCCCTATAATTTTTGCACTCTCTTTTGTCCCCTTTGCCTTTATACAAAGGAAATATGCATGCTCTCTGTCAATCCCTAGGTACCTTATCCTCTTCCATACATTTATTAAATAATTGCACCAACCACTCCAAAACTATATCCCCACCTGCTTTTTACATTTCTATCTTTATCCCATCAATCCGGCTGCCTTACCCATATACATGTGTGTTATATATATATATATATATATATATAATATATATATATATATATATATATATATATATATATATATATATTTATATATATATATATATATATATATATATATATATATATATGGGGTAAGGAGCGGATTGATGGGATAAAGATAGATAATATAAAAAGCAGGTGGGGTATATATATATATATATATATGCAAAACAACCCTGAAAGTAGTGGTTAGTCCAGTGAGTGTCACGAAAGCGCTGGAATTTCTTATTCTTTCAGAGTGGTTGTTTTGCATATTTTGAAATCACCTGTTTACTGTGATCTTATTGCATATTTATATATATATATATATATATAATCTATAATATATACATATATATATCATATTATATATATATATATATATATATATTCTATTACTATATATATATATATATATATCATTTATACACAGTGGCCCCGGTAACGATATTTTTTCCACTCCTGAAGTATGTTAGGTGCAGTATGACCGAATTTGTTCCCATAAGAAATATTGTGAAGTAGATTTGTTCCATTTCAGACCCCCAAACATACACTGTTACAAAAGCACTTACATATAATACACTTACATAATTGGTCGCATTCGGAGGTAATGTTATGCGGGGGGTCACTGTATATATATATAAAATAATAATATTATATATATTAAATATATTATATTATATAGATATTATATTTATATATTTTATATTAATACTATTATATATATATATATATATATATATATAAATATTTTTTTTTTTCTAACAAGTTAGGTTATCTCCCACGAGGAGGTGAAGCCAAAAATAAAAGAAAATCCAAAAAGAAAATACTTTCATCATCATTCAACACTTTCACCACACTCACACATTATCACTGCTTTTTGCAGAGGTGCTCAGAATACAACAGTTTTAGAAGCATATACGTATAAAGATACACAACATATCCCTCCAAACTGCCAATATCCCAAACTCCTCCTTTAAAGTGCAGGCATTGTACTTCCCATTTCCAGGACTCAAGTCCGACTATAAGAAAATAACCGGTTTCCCTGAATCCCTTCACTAAATATTACCCTGCTCACACTCCAACAGATCGTCAGGTCCCAAGTATCATTCGTCTCCATTCACTCCTATCTAAACGCTCATGCACGCTTGCTGGAAGTTTCCCAAGCCCCTCGCCCACAAAACCTCCTTTACCCCCTCTTTCCAACCCTTTCGAGGACGACCCCTACCCCTCTTTCCTTCCCCTATAGATTTATATGCTTTCCATGTCATTCTACTTTGATCATTCTCTCTAAATGACCAAACCACCAAACAACCCCTCTTCTGCCCTCTGACTAATGCTTTTATTAACTCCACACCTTCTCCTAATTTCCACACTCCGAATTTTCTGCATAAATTTCACCACACATTGCCCTTAGAAAAACACATCTCCACTGCCTCCAACCGTCTCCTCGCTGCTGCATTTACCACCCAAGCTTCACATCCATATAAGAGTGTTGGTACTACTATACTTCATACTTTCCCTTCTTTGCCTCCATAGATAACGTTTTTTGACTCCACATATACCTAAAACGCACCACTCACCTTTTTTCCCTCATCAATTCTATGATTAACCTCATCCTTCATAAATCCATCGCCGGACACGTCAACTCCCAAGTATCGAAAACATTCACTTCTTCCATACTCCTCCTCCCCAATTTGATATCCAATTTTTCTTTATCTAAATCATTTAAATACCCTCATCACCTTACTCTTTTCTATTTTCACTTTAAAACTTTCTACCTTTACACACATTCTCAAACTCATCCACTAACCTTTGCAATTTTCTTTAGAATCTCCCATAAGCACAGTATCATCAGCAAAAAGTAACTGTGTCAATTCCCATTTTGAATTTGATTCCCCATAATTTAATCCCACCCCTCTCCCGAACACCCTAGCATTTACTTCTTTTACAACCCCATCTATAAATATATTAAACAACCATGGTGACATTACACATCCCTGTCTAAGACCTACTTTTACCGGGAAGTATTCTCCCTCTCTTCTACACACCCTAACCTGAGCGTCACTATCCTCATAAAAGCTCTTTACAGCATTTAGTAACTTACCACCTATTCCATAAACTTGCAACATCTGCCACATTGCTCCTCTATCCACTCAATCATATGCCTTTTCTATATATATATATTTTTTTTTCAACAAGTCGGCCGTCTCCCACCGAGGTAGGGTGACCCAAAAAAAAGAAAGAAAATCACCAAAAAGAAAATACTTTCATCATTATTCAACACTTTCACCTCACTCACACATAATCACTGTTTTTGCAAAGGTCCTCAGAACACAACAGTTTAGAAGCATATATGTATAAAGATACACAACATATTCCTCCAAACTGCTAATATCTCGAAACCCCTCCTTTAGAGTGCAGGCATTGTACTTCCCATTTCCAGGACTCAAGTCCGGCTATATAAAAATATCCGGTTTCCCTGAATCCCTTCACTAAATATTACCCTGCTCACTCCAACAGATCGTCAGGTCCCAAATACCATTTGTCTCTATTCACTCCTATTGAACACGCTCATGCACGCCTGCTGGAAGTCCAAGCCCCTCGCCCATAAAACCTCCCTTACCCCTTCCTTTCAACCTGTTCGAGGATGACCCCTACCCCGTCTTCCTTCTCCTACCGATTTAAATGCTATCCATGTCATTCTACTTTGATCCATTCTCTCTAAATGACCAAACCACCTCAACAACCCCTCTTCAGCCCTCTCACAAATACTTTTATTAACTCCACACCTTCTCCTAATTTCCACACTCAGAATTTTCTGCATAATATTTACACCACACATTGCCCTTAGACAGGACATCTTCACTGCCTCCAACCATCTCCTCGCTGCTGCATTCACAACCCAAGCTTCACACCCATATAAGAGTGTTGGTACTACTATACTTTCATACATTCCCTTCTTTGCCTCCATAGATAACGTTTTTTGACTCCACATATGCCTCAATGCACCACTCACCTTTTTTTCCTCATCAATTCTATGATTAACCTCATCCTTCATAAATTCATCCGCCGACACGTCAACTCCCAAGTATCTGAAAACATTCACTTCTTCCATACTCCTCCTCCCCAATTTGATATCCAATTTTTCTTTA